AATTCTTCATGTTTTTGATATCCTTTAAATGATATTGTCTACTCCCATGTGTTAACCCCATTCCTATCGATCGTTTTCTGATGTGGTGACCAACCTAAAGGACTTGGTATTATGGTGCAGTTAAAAATTGTCCATAACACTCGGTTAGTACTCAAAACAGGACAATATGAAATCAGTGTGTCTAATGCAGCCATATAGGCGGTCAACCACTGCTTGAATAGCCTACTGGTAACACTAGATGATGTGGGTTCGAGTTACAGAGGAAACATCAGTCCGTTGGCTGGAGGCAATCGCCTAGAAGCCCTGGACCTAGGTTTCGTGCTTTTTGGCAGCAATTTCATGTTGTCTAGTCCTGAGTGCAGACATCAGTCCCCTAGAGGTTGCAGAAACGCCTTGTCTACGAGTTTCAACAAGCACAAAACAAAAGTCGATTACCTTTAAGTAACTACTACTGAACAAAGTGCATCGTGATGGTTTGTTATATATTCCGACAGCACATAATACACACGCTCAACTGACAGCTAACTTCCTACGCAAGAGCCACGGACTGCAACCCAGCACGAATAGAGAAGTAGACCGAAGCTGGATGGGAGAGTTTATTCCCCTGAGAGTAATAATCAACCAATAAATTCAAAAACACGTGAGTATGTGTGTACACATGAAATATGACCTTGTCCACAAATTGAGGCATGAACATAGCAAGAGTAAGGATTAACCAATCAGCGAATCGCCTTGAAAATGTGGGCAGAAGATGGACTACTAGTCTTGTTGTAAATAAAGTGGCGTTAAAAAAATGTTCGGATCGATAATAGTGATGAGCCTGCTAGCTTAGTGGCCAGATTGTAAAATGATCGATCGAATTCGACCAGAATTAAGGACTATACGATATGAAATTGGTTGGTTTCTCCAGCAATCAATCAGTGTAGAATATTCGTTACTCGTCAAACTGTATATTGAATTATGGTGAGTGTTTTCAAGGAGCTATTCAGTAAAACTAGATCTAATCAATCAATATCAACCGTTTCCATTTGCAAAAAAAATATCATAATTGATTCATTTTCGACCACCTTTACACGTGAAAGGAAATTGAATAAGCTTTCAGTTGTCGTTCAAAGAAAATTTTCCTTTTCAACGAATCATTCTGAATTGTTGTGCAACCGTAATTATAATGATAATAATAATAAACCAGTCAATCTACTATTGGCTAGTAGGTCAACATTAGATCATGAGTACGGAATGTTCCAGAAGGACAAACTACCGTATGGGGCTTCATCCATGTTTGCGTATCATTTTATCTTGTTTTCTATGGTCAGTTATCTAGGCATCACACATCTCCGGTCACAGTCTTGCTAGACTGTCTAAGGGAGAGAGTAGGTCAATCACAAGTTCCATTTTGGAGTGGTTGGTTAACTCGAATCATATCACTTCCCATCATAGTCTTCTTCCAAAATCCGAACGGCTTAAAAAGAGATGCAGATTCGCTGGCTATGTGTAGCAGAGGCATTGGTAGTCCAACAACTAAAACTCGAGCTCTATGTACAGAAGACGTACATCTATCCTCTTAGTTCCCTATGGTTCTCAGCTTCCTTTGGGCTTCTACTTCTTTGCTCCAGTATTTATCTTACTCTGATTGATTACTACTTTTATTTTACTTCATAAGTTACTTTCCTACATTTGTACGTGTTACTTCCCATTTCCCATTCAAATTCTCGCAGTATTTTACTCTGATTACTGATTATCATTAGTATTATTATATTTCTAGCTTATCAGCAGCGTTCTCCGTGGACGTCACTATGAAAGAATCACTCACAAATGACGTTGCCTAGATAGAAAAAGTAGAAAGTAACACAGCCAAGTCGATGACAGTTACCTAATGTTGGTATTGGATGGAGGCCACGCTATATCGTGAAGTGACAGAAGTAGGAATCGTAAAGTATTGCATGCCGACCCAGTGGGTCAACGGTAACTTTCTGACCACCGAACCTGGAAGTATGATCTGTAGATGGTGGGGTCATCAATTCACCCTGCTGAGGAGTCCGAAACTAGGACGAAATAGCTGTGTTATGCTCCCAGGTCCCCAATGTCTCTCCAACTGGTGTCACTCTCCACAAACCTTCAAAATGAACAACCAAAATCATCTATCTGAGCTATAGATATTCTAATCGTAAAGAGAAAGCTAACTGGTTTTTTCATTGCTAGGTTGCTAGGTTAGTCTGCAGATTCAACCAACTTGGTAAAATGAATGACGCACTCTTTGTTTGCTTTACATCTAATGGGAATAAGATAGACATGGTAACTAAATTTTACGATGACTGACTCATCATGGAATTTAACGATCAATACACCGTGATATGTTGAGTACACGTTAGTCTCAATTTGTTATTTTAAAGGGTGGAAATGAACCTCACTTATGGTACTTTACGAATAAAGCGTCTTCAAACATAGTGGACTCCAAAAGTGTAGTAGAGAATGATTATCATTTAGACAAAAACACAAATACAGGTTAGTAACTACCACCAACCAGTGAAAATCTGTAAGTACTGGATAGTTGTTTCGTCCTAATATGCGACTCCTCAGCAGTACACACTCATGACCTTGCCTCACCAGAGATCGAAGTCACAACTTCAAGGTTTCACGGTGAACATATTAGCCATTTGCCTACTAATCTGAAATTCAATGAGCCATAGTTTCCTACTTTTGTCAGTCCACGATATCATGCAACTGTCCATCAAAATCTTCAGTTAACATCCACTTCACTTCCGAATGGTTGACTCCATCATAGGTCACGGCTTCTCATTAGAACTTCATGATATCTTAAAGAAAAATATGCTAAAATTAAAATACACAACACACACTTACTAAGTAATTATCCATTTACATATATGTTTCTAGATGAAATCCCACCAGAAGCACTGAGAACAGAAGCAGATACAATAGCGGATATACTCACACCATTATCACAGAAGGTCTGGAAGGAAGAAAAGGTACCTGCGTATTGATTGGAAGAAGGCCTACCTTATCAAACCCCTGAAGAAGGGCGACCGAAGTCTTTGCAAGGACTGGCGCGGAATCATGCTCCATGCCTGTTAACCACAAGCAAAATATTAAGCCATATCATCATGGAGAGACTAAAGGATGCACTGGATTCAAAACTATGACCGGAAAAGGCTGACTAGATTCAGGAAGTACAAATCATGTGCGGACCAAATTGCAACGCTACACTACGCATCGTCATTGAACAGAATATAGAATGGCAGTCAACTCTCTACCTCAATTTCATCGACTTTGATAAGGACTTTGACAACGTCGACCGACAAGTAATTCTCAAACTGCTTTAACACAACGGAATACCACAAACCTTTATCCATCTCATTCAACAACAATATGAAGACGCCACATGCCAATTAATTCACAATGGAAAGCTCAGTGATGCTTTTGAAGTGAAGAGAGGAGAGAAACAAGGCTGTCTACTATCACTCATGATATTCCTGATTGTGGTCGACTGGACTGGATCATGCAACAAACAGTGAAGAGCGAGAAGAGTGAGATACGCTCGACCGGGGAAAAGAACCTAGAAGATTTGGATTTCGCCAGTGATGACATGTGTCTAATGTCACACAAACTTGAAGATCTACAGGCGAAAACCAACAAGTTGACAGAAGAGGCAACGAAAGGGCAGCGAAGACTAGACTTCAAGTTTATGTAGAGAAGACAGAGGTGATGAAGATATTCAACCAACGCCAACGCCAACAACAACAACAAGAAGCTCCAGTCGGCATGGACGGAGAAACCTAAAGGAAGTAGCCTCCTTCAACTATCTAGGCAGCATCGTTTCAACTACAGGCGGCAGTGGCACAGAGGAGGACGTCAAAGCCAGCCAGTATCAGAAAGACAGCAAGACAGCAAGCCTTCACGCATTAACCTGAAACCAGTGTGGAGATCTTCTGTGCTGCACTGCACTGCACTCAGCATAAAGCGTCAACAACATTCGGATTTTCAACACTAATTCAGTCAAGTCACTGCTTCTGTATGCCTCAGAGAATTGGCGCCTTACGAAAAGCATTTCCAACAAACTACAGATATTCATCAACAACTGCCATCTACGCTGGCTCGTTACTCAAGATCAGATGGATTGCGAGAATAATAAGAATAAGCAATAAGGAACTCTGGCTGGTTGGCTGGCTGGTTGACAACGAACCAACGAAACCAAGAATCTATCACTCAACAAATATGCAGTGAAAGGAAGTGGAGATGGATTGGATTGGCATACACTGAGAAGACCATTTGAGGATATGATGCAGTAGGCCAGGCGCTGGAGTGGAACCCAGATGGGAAACGACTAGTTGGGCGTCCGAGTTGTGGGTGACATGGAGGAGATCGTGTGAGGAAGAAATGAGAGCTTGTGGGCAGTCGTGGAGCCAAGTTTTGAAGATTGCAGAGAAGAGAGTGAAGTAGAGACGTGCTACTGAAGCAGTATGTTCGACCAGGAACCCAAGGGACAAATAATAATGATAGATATGTGTTTCAAATTCATACCACAACTCAGTATCTGTATGAAGGGAATATATATATATATTTACGAAATATAAAGAGATAGCTAAGAATATGTGTCTATGTATATGTCTGTGTGACACAATTTTAAACAAGTTTTAATCACATTTGAATTTCTAATAAATGGTGAATATTCAATACATTGTACATTGAACAAGTGTACGTTGAACAGAGAATCATATAGTCAGTAAATGGAATAACTTTGTTGATTGCAAACAAATATAAACTATTTTATCTAGTTATCAATAAAAATAATAATAATAATATTAATAATAGTAATGGTAAAATCTACAGAAATAAATGAAGGAAATGTATTCTTTCTATTATTATTGTCATCAGTTGTGTAATGATTACTTTTTCACTTCTATTCTTTTCTATATATATATATATATATATATATATATATATATATATATATATATATATATATATATATATATATATATATATTATTGTATGGAATATGAATAGAACAAGATATTGAATAGTGTAGCAAATAGGAATAATTTCATTTCATTATGATTGTATGCAATAGCATGATTACATGCATCATTTGAGCATATACAATAACGTAGTTTAACTTTTTCTGTACCAACTCTATCCATACATTGACTAGTCTCTACTGGAATTCCGCTACAATCACGATAAACACGTGTAGCTGGTTTATTAGTAGCATTATGACTATAAATGAATGGAGCATCCTGTTTAAAAATGATATGAAAGATAAAAAGACCATAATAATAATAGTAATAATAATAATAATAATAATAATGTGTATGTATGATAAAAACAATGATATGTTTGTACAATGCACTTCATCCTATCTCATCAGATGTTTAAGATAAGCAAAAATTGTTTTTTTTTCTGGAATACACAAAGGGTGGCTAAGGTTTCAATAAACCAGTTTCTATATAATGATTTAAAGGTTAGTTCAGATCAATCCTGTGACCTGTTTCTATGATGTGCTTACCTAGAGATGAAGACAACCGTTTACCTTTTGTATCTATTAGACTATTTCAACATAGTAAAGATGGATAGTGGCTAGCAGTGGAATCTACGATGAGCACTTCGTCCTATTTGGGACTCGTCAGCTGGATGTACCTGCCTCCCAGTGCCGAGTGGTGTTGTTCCCACCGAGATTCGGACTTGGGAGCAATCGCTTCAAATGCCAGAGCGTTATCTATTACGCCACCGAGCCACGATAGCCATTTCTTGTGCGACAAGTGTAATTTTAGTGTTATTGATTGTATTACACCATAGTTGATTGAACCGAAATGATCAGTCTCTGTTGGTATATGGGGTGGTATGCGGATGCCTTAATATACCTGCGTCCTAGTTATATTAATGAAGGATGGTAGCTAGCAGTGGGATCTACGATTCGCATTTCGTACTATTTGGGACTCATCAGCCAGATATACCAGTAGAGATCGATCAATTCAGTCCAATCAATGATGGTATAATACAAGCAATAAGACTATTTCAACGTAGTTTCTTTTCCAGCCATTTAGGGATATGTTCATAGTTCAATTACTTCTCCCGATGTATATATCATCATACATACATGTAAACTCGTTTCCTTTATATCATTGAGATTGGCTGAATAGTATGTTTTTGTTTTTTTAACTGAACATCGCCTTCGTTTAAAGATCATACAGTTTGATTCCCCACAACCAGCACCACCAACCCCTTCTTATTCGGTAATGTGAAGTAAACATCCTTTTTCAGGATAGAATATTGATCAGTTCACAATGTTGAAACTTTTCTATACTGATCAATGAACTACAGTGAATATGTGTTATTCATTGCTGGGGGTGGATTCACTTTAAATCAGCATTTTACTAAACCCTGTTTGCACTGTATTGAACAGAAACTATGAAAGTTTAGGTACTGTCCAGTCGACTTAGGTTTTCTGCCCCCCTGATCGACTCATCTTCCCTTCTTGTTAATAATATGTCGAAAAAAGGAAGCTGATTATCAATTTCTACTTCTCCTCATAGACTGATATAGCCTTGGATGATGTTTAGTCTCTCTATACAGCTTGTTGCATCCTCATGTTTGTTGGATATTACTAAATTGCCATCAACATATCTCCTGCAAATATATCACATTTATCAGATAACCTTCATTTTCTAGTTACATTATGAAAATTTATTAAAGGGACTAATTGTTTCAAAAACAATAAATTAAAAACACTTGTCATCCGATATGTAGACATTGTAAACCTTGAACCTATTGGAATATTTATGAATTAGGGTTATACAATTGGTAGATAGAAACCATGAAAGCTGATCTGTAGGTTTCGCCAGCCAGCCAGTCAGTTAACCAGTTAGTTAGATCAGACAAAAGTGCTCTAAACATCTGACAACCGTTTCACTTTCTTGGTGCCAAACCAGTTCATCAGCGGTGTACCCGGACAAATTCATCCCATAGAACTGAATTAGCTCGTTCAGCCTGAATCTGTAAAATATACCTAAAACACATATTACACGAGATTTAAACAAAGATAAAGCAAAGCACGCATGCAATCAATTAATCAATATCAACATAGGACCAGGCATTACTGCGTAACGGTTCGAGTTGCCACACCTCATATCACTACATCAAGTAGAAAGGTAGTGAGGTGAAGGATGAAGATAAGAGAATGCAGTCAAGAGAAGTTTTAAGGACGAGAAGAAAGAAAAGAGGAATGGCAAAATGGTGAGATTTGGTAAAACGTCGCTAAGATGAATATAATGTGTGTGGGGATACATCCGCGCCACTAACATCGGTTCTCAGCTATATCACCTAGAGTCGGTCTCCAACCAGTGGTTCTTCTTGTCCCGTCGACCCTAACCACCTAGTCTGCATCGCCCCATATGGCTCAAACCAACAGTCAGAGACTTCATGCATTGGTACCATGTTTTAGTCTGGCCACTTCGGGCCTTTCTCCAGCCTGGACCCACTTCAGCCAACATTGTGTGACGAGGCAATCGGTGACTAGGCATACGTAGTACGTGTCCCAACCATCTCAATCGATGAAGGTTCATGACCTCGTCAACTGATTTACCTCTACTCCCTAAAACTCTATACCTGACTTCTGCATTACTCACGTGATGTATTGACACCACGGAATACGGCCTATACTACGAAGACAACGGTCGTCAAACACTTGAAGCCTTCTTATATCTTCCACTTTCAATGGTCATGTTTCACAGCCATACAGCAAGCACGGATGCAGATATTTACACCACTGAGATCAGTCAGAAACCTAAAGTTTCTTAAACAACCGTAATCAACAGTTGAAGACTATGCGACTGGATGCCTAGTATTGGTATTATTATAGTTATCATTGTTATTTTGACTAACTGAGATAGCAGCCGTGGTTTGGCAGACTAATAGTGATACCTGATGATGATTGAAGGTGGAATGAAAGTTTGAATGGCTGCTCGATTCGAACCAGCAAACCCCGGGTATCCGGCCTGATGCTCTACCAACTGACTTAAGAGACCTGACTGTTGACCAGTTATTTCACTTCAATCATAAAGGGTTTAACCCGGCTACCATGTGAATTAGTGACACTTTACTACCGCTTAATCGTGCTTACACTGGCTGCTGCCTAGTTAGCACTTCTCACCCCAATTCGAATCTGGATTAGAGAGGTGGGAAGCATCATATTGATTATCAGTTTAACTATCTGAGATAGCAGCCGTAGTTTGGCAGACTAGTACCACTGATACTGGATGATGATTGAAGGTGGTCAGCAGTTGAACCTCGTAGCTCAGTTGGTAGAGCATCGTGCGGAAACTCGGTGGTCGCTGGTTCGAATCTGACCGCAGTTCAAATTTCCATCTCACCTTCAATCATCACCCAGTATAATTAATAAGTAATGTAATCCAATTTCAGCTTATTTGGTGCGTTGTAGGTAGATAGTGGCCATATGACATAGTGAAAAATTTGCCTTTTTGACAAAGTGGACATAGACGAGCAATATTATATCTATTAGCTAGAATTTATTGGCTGTTTCCTGACCTTGGCTTTCTGATATACATCCGAAGGTGATATTCATCACAAAATTGCATCAGTTGGAGAACCACTGAGAATCTAGGAGTATTGGACAGCTGATACGTTCTAGTGTGGTACTCCTCAGGTCGAATCCAGAACCTCCAGGTGCAGTCAGACACCACTCACTCCTTAGCAAAATAACAGATCAGTCAACCTCATAATCTTGCCTGGCGGGTGATTTTCTACGGAAACCCTGCTAACACTACCTATAGTTAGGGAGTTGAAAAACTACTCAGTTGCGGGAAACATCAAGGTGGACCGTGTACTTTTCAAATCTTATGCCAATTGATAATCCTATTGATCCATGAAAGTCAGCTAGCTAGCCAACATGAGATGATCTAGAGTAATTCGGCTCTATGAGCTAAATTTTCAAGGGAACACCATGAATGAACTAACTTAGTCTCAAACGATTAAAACGGCTATCCAGTGTGGTGTTTAAATCATTCTCATCTGGTTGGTGGAAGCTACAGAACAGCTTGAATGACTTCTAGCTACTCTAATTGTTCGGTAGAATATCCCAGGTTGATCTAAGCTCACCGACCATTATGATGGCTTCCAAATAGGCACATATACATGAAAACGATGTATCCAATAAGCCATAGGCTCCTATTAACGGAGAAGGCGCCAGATTTTCGAGTGTTTGTCTTTATCTCCTTAACAAGAATAGCAATGAGTGCCCGGCTTGGGTTATCCTACTAAGGCTGACTGTGTCTCACACTTATCACCCTACTAATATCAACCCTTCTTACTCCATAGTTAGACGCAGATACCTAGGCATTTTAATCCTTACTACCTGTATGGTTAGCAGACGATTAACCAGCAATCAATTAACAACTAATTCCGATGACCCCAGCCAGGAAGGATGTCACAGGTTCCCTCACTTTGATTGTCCAATAGTTTGACATTATTGGTTGTAACGAACATCCGCTTGATTTGCCTCGCTTAATTAAGTAACCGAAAATAAATCTTAAAATTGAACAGACATGTCCATCATTGAACAAAATAATATTTTTTTTTCAAGTTTTTCAAAAGAAAACTTCTCCTGACCATAAAAACAGGAAGTTATTGAAATCAGCATGAAAAAGATGCAGATAAAGGGAGTGATAAATAGATAAAAACTAACACTATAGTGGGTGCTGGTGATCAGAATGAATATAAGTAGTATATATGTTGAGAGGGCAGCAGAAATCATAGGGAATTACCAGCAATAGGTAACGATCTTGCTGAGAGAAACGCAAGAGACAATGTGTGCGTATTTAGAGCAAATCAAGATAGAAGCAGAAGAAGAAATGAAGGACACTGTGCAACTGACTGTCTTAGTGGAAAGTGTACAATATTTGATAACTACTGTCTATTGATATCCTCCCGGAGTTTATCGACATGTTTTCTCCAGTTATTTACCTCTGGTGACTCCACCACAGCTACTGTCGTACCATTGGCTGCCTAGTGACCTTGACAAGCCCACTAATATCCATGAGTTGGGCTGAGTTCACTAGTCGTAGCTGCTGGGCAGTGACATCTGGGGCACCTTTGGTAAACCGTGCAGCCAGCGACTGCTCCTGAGACTCATCCAAAGTGGGAAGTGCTCGTCGAAGTAGTTTAGTCAACTTACCAGTCAATACCAGCGGGTCTTCGTCTATTCCAAGTCTCGTGCTCGGGAACTGCTGCATCGCCAGCTCCCTGTCCGCTGAACTTTCAAACTCCGTCTCCAGTTGTTCAACTATTCTCTCCCAAATCTTCTTTCCATGCACGCGTTCCATGCCGTCATATGCCGCTTTCGTTCTATCCCTCAGTAATATGCCAAGCACCACAACCTTCGCTCCTGGATCCTGAGTGCCCACCAGCTCCGCAACTGACTCAAAATCACTGAAGAAGACATTATAATGTCTCCATCTTCGAACGCTGCAGGCCATGGAATGTTCATCAAGTCCAGAAGTAGCAATATCAATTAATTGTAGGAAGCAACAAGACGGAGACGAAGGAAGGATTGTTTATTACTGATATCTTGTACAGTGGGCATTAAATACTGTACATCTTTCACTAAGACAGTCAGTTGCACAGTGTCCTTCATTTCTTCTTCTGCTTCTATCTTGATTTGCTCTAAATACGCACACATTGTCTCTTGCGTTTCTCTCAGCAAGATCGTTACCTATTGCTGGTAATTCCCTATGATTTCTGCTGCCCTCTCAACATATATACTACTTATATTCATTCTGATCAGCAGCACCCATTACAATACCACTCCATTTGTATCCTATGAAAAAACCTGAAAGATGTATACGTCATCTTGCTAGATAAGATTGAGAATGACGGTTAGAGATAGAATCGACTAGTCATCTGCGACTTGTCTACTTCATGTATTGTAAGTTATGATAAATCACGGCTGCTTTAATTACATGTACAATGCTAAGAGGGGTCAGCACGACTAGACTAAGACATGATACAAGTTGATGAAGTTTTTAAATATTGTGTAGAAAGGTATAGACTTCCTAGTCTGAGGTCTACAAGACGATGGGAACTAGTGATTGAGGACTGTTGGTGAAGTGGTGGATAAATCGCTGACAAAGAGTATAGACATCTTCTAAAGCTTGAATACTTTGACTAACCATCAGTTGTTATACTATTGTGATGTGTGGCACCTTGAAGTGATACATTTGTATGCGAATATTGGTTACAGTATTGATTGCTATCCAGAGATATCTTTTCCCATCTTCCCATCTCAGATTTAGTAGGCACGTAATTTTAGCACAGATAATTAACAGCTTCCTATCTATTACTAATTGAATAAAAAGTGGCAACCAGATATGGTGCAGTGGTTTCGGGAAATGACTATCAACCATTGGGTTACGAGTTCGAATCCCACTTCACCTACTGAGGTTTGAACAGTTAAGTAGTATCACTAGCTTACTACACAGGTGTGCAATAAGTGGCTGAGTGCCAGTAAACAAATCTGTAAAGTTATCTAAGTTATTTGTTAGTGAAGAATTTCTGAATCGAATATATGAATCTGTGACTTGTACAATCAACTTTCAACCAATGATATACATTTATTACTTGTATTGTACCGTCGTTGATTGGACCAAATTGATCGGTCTCTATTAGCATATTGGCTTCTGTGTGGATGCCTCGATATACCTGTGTAGTTCTAGTTGTAGTAAAGATGGATAGTGGCTAGCAATGGAATCCAGTATGCACATTTCGTCCTATTTGGGGCTCGTCAACTATATGTACCTGCCTCCCAGTCCTGAGTGATGTTGCTCCCGCCGGGATTCGGACTCGGGAGCGATCGCTTCAAACGCCAAAGCGTTATCCATCACACCATTACACAAGGAGTGGCTATTGTGGTTCGGTGGTGTAATAGCTAATGCTCTAGCGTTTGAAGCGATCGTTCCGGAATCCGAATCTCGGTGGGAACAACATCACTCAGCACTGGGAGGTAGGTACATCTAGCTGATGAGTCCCAAATAGGACGAAATGCGCATCCTGGATACCACTATCTATCTTTACAATGGTATACATGATTTAGAACAATTTATTTCAAATGAAAACTTCAATCTCAGGATATCAACTTAACTTTTCAAGGTATACATTGTTTATGAAGTCAAACCGTTAAAAGAGTAAAACAACCATTCAGTATTTAAATCCTTATGATCTAACCTAACGAGATTCATAAAGGTTTCTAACTACTCAATAGGATATCGAGAATACTAATCATTATGGAAAGATTTAAATGAGGTTAGAATGTTGAAAGTATGAGTCTATTTGGTAAGATTTACTCCTCACACCCTTCATAATGGATATATCTGACTATATGCATTAGAAAGTTATAAAAACAATATTTTTTTATAATATAATCTTATCAACATACCTGAATTATTGTTTTACATGAAGCTTGTAAATGTGGTGGACACAACTTTGGTCTTTCTTTTGATATACTTCCACTATTACATTCATTATCCGTATAAGAATTACATTGATAACATTGAAGTGATATAATACTCTTTGTAGTATATAATAAAAAGATAGTAAAATAAATGATTATTCTACTGATGAGCATATTTTTACTTCTAAAGTTAATATGCGAAACAATGAATTGTAATATTATTATTCACTTGATTTGTCTATATATTTGACCAGTGAAATGAATGAATGAATGAATGAATGAAATTGGTTGACATAACACATATCATCGAATAATAAATAATACGGTCAGACTTTTTATATTTGTATACATCAACTAATCGATAAATCAGTTTAAAATTATATAAGAGAATATTTAAAATATATGAGAGAGGGGGGGGGAAGGGGTGTATTGACTGACCGTCAAGGTCTGACTTCCGGTATTTTTATGACAAGGTCATTTGTGTGCATACATTTATCTATCTATGCATGTAAAGTCATATACAATATGGTCAATAAATTAAATTGTTATATTCACTTTTGATAAGGATTTTTCAACATCTTATAGACTAACATCAGTTGGAAATGAACAAAGAAAAACTGGGAGCACTGGACAGTTGTTTCATCCTAGTACGGGACTCCTCAGCAGTGCTCACCCACGACCCTGATAGGGATCGAACCCGCGACCTTCAGGTTCCCTAGCCAGCACGTTACCATCGAGCAAGCCACTTGGTCAGCGGAATCCAATGGTCCATATTTCCAACTTCTTTTAGCTCACGATATAGCACAACCGCTACCCAGTGTCATCGTTGAGTAACTGTCCTCACGACTATCAAGCTTTGCCCCCACCGGTCATGACTTCTTATTGGAACTTGGGGAATACCTGTCAAAGCTAGTCACCAATGAGCATCAGTTCAATTGATATCAGTTGGAGAGGAACAAAGGAAACCTGGGAGCACTGGACAGCTAGCTGTTTCGTCCTAGTATGGGACTCTTCAGCAGTGTGCACATACGACCCCGACAGGAATCGAACCCGCGATCTTCAGGTTCCATGGCCAGCACGTTACCATTAAGCTAGCCACTGGGTCAGTGGAATCCAATGATCTATTTTCCAACTTCTGTTATGCATCACCAGTTGTCACTGGTTCGAATCCGACGCTGCCCGAATTTACATTTCACCTTCAGTCATCACGCAGCATCAATACCAGTCAGCATACCCACACCTGTCTCTCATAGTCAAATGATATTCCATCTTTGACATTTTTTATGTCTGTGGGGATTGTATATATATATATATATATATATATATATATATATATATATATATATATATATATATATATATATATATATATATATATATATATATATATATATATATGCTATGGTTTATCGAATATGGTAGTCGTTGTTCTTACACTCTCAGGTCAGCGTTTGTTAGTGTTTCTATGTTAGGGTGACTCAATGAAGAATAAGTTGCTGAAGGGAAATGACCATATTGACATTCAGTTCTACATACTACCACATTCAGTATAGTTATTACCCACGTTTTATTCCATTCAGTCAGTTCAGCTGCGAAGATATCCGCGAATATGATACTTAGAGGACTGTTGAAAATTCCCTTTGTTAAAATTAGAATAAGATATATAAGCGGACAATACTGTTTTCAATTAGCTCTCATCAAGCGTCAACATAAATTATCTCATATTATTATTTGTCCCTTGGGTTCCTAGTCGAACATACCGATTCAATAGCACGTCTCCATCACACTCTCTTCTCTGCAATCTTCAAAACCTGGCTCTACGATAGCCCATTAGCTCTCATTTCTTTCTCACATCATCTCCTCCATCTCATCCTCACCACGGACGCTGAACGCGTCGTTCCCCCTTTGCATTCCACTCGGTGCCCTGGCCTGTGGCGTGATGTCCCAAGTCGGCCTTCTCAGTGTATGCCCAATCCATCTCAACTTCCTTCCAGTGCGTATTTGTTGAACGATAGGTTCTTGGTTCGTTAGTTCGTTGCGTGGCCAGAGTTCCTTGTTTCTTATTCTCATTATTCTGGCAATCCATCTGATCTTCAGTAACGAGCATAGGCAGTTGTTAGGTTCAAACATGGTGCGGACATTCCATGTTCCCACGTTTACTTTCGCTTTCATCAAGAGAAGAGAAGACACATCAGCCAATTGGCTTCCCGAAGGCTTTCACCAACCAGCGTCATTTCGCTTCTCCGATTTCAGCAAGGAATAATTTTGTTTTGATTTTTTATATATTTTGTTCGTGCTTTGAAGTTTGTTTAGCGGTTAGACTGGTTTTACGGGATAGGGTTGCTAGTCCCACGCCCAACCTTCCCTCTTTACCCGGGTTTAGGAACGGCTAGTAACTACTGAACTAGTTAACCAGGCGAAGTCTCATATAGAAAACATTAAATCAATCATGGCCGATTATTTAGTCTATGGTAACTAGAAGAGGTAGTATGCAAATAGTAGATATCTAGACAATCATAATAATTATAGTAATTTGGTCGGTTGTGGCTAGCAGAAGAATCCACGACGCGCGTTGCAATAAAAACAACTGAGAATTACAAGTATATATCAATGAATAGTAATATCTACTCCCTGTTGTAGAAGAAGTGGCTGTCGTTCCTCTTTGGCATAGTGGATAACGCCTTGACGTTTGAAGTGATGGGTACGAAGTGTGAGTCTCAGTGGGAACAAGATCACACCGCACTGGGTCCAAGTACATCCAGCTGACGAGTCGTAAATAGGACGAAATGCACCTTCTGGATTCTTCTGCTAGCCACAACCAACCAAATTATTATAATATCGAGTAATGTATTTTTGAGATGAATGGGGATTTTAATTTAGAAGTAGTATTCATCATGGACTGACATGAGTTGGGGAACCATTGAAAATCTGAGAGCACTGGACAGCTGTTTCATCCTAGTATGGGACTCCTCAGCTTCCAGATCGATATCAGGAAGGTGTAATGAGAAACCGTGACCGTTGGTGGGGTCAACCAATTCAGTCGGAAGTGAAGTGGATGCTAACTGAACACCTTGGGTGATAGATAGTTGCGCTATGTCGTGAATTGACAGAAGTTGGAAATTGTGAACCATTGCAACCCGACTGACAGAGTGGTTGAATGGTTAATGGGTTCGCCGTGAGACCTGAGGGTCCTGATTTCGATCCCTGTCCGGTGGGGTTGTGGGTGCGTACTGTTGAGGAGTCCCCTACTTGGACGAAACAGGTGTCCAGTGCTCCTAGATTTTCAATGGTTTCCCAAATGATGTCAGTCCATGATGAATACCACTTCCAAATTATCAGGTTAGATTGTCATTGTGGTTCTAACATCTAATTCACCTAGACATACTGATCCTAGAGGAAGCAGTAACTGTCCGAAGAATTCAGAGGTTGTGACTGTGACTGCAGCGGTGAACAAGTCTCACAGAGATTGTGAATATTCTTTAAGTTGCGAATATATGTTGTTTGTCATAATTAAGCAAAGACTAATAGGTTTTCGTCAATTACTCATAACTTCTTCTTACTTAATAATGAACATGGTGGCATCCTGTTACACGATTTGGTGGGGGACACTATGCAATTGTAGGAGGAAGTCAGAAAAACCTCAAGATTGGACAACATGAGATTGACTACATCCTGGTAACTAATCAATACTCACGTTCTGTTCGGTAAAAATTGCCAGTGATCCACTGGGATATAGAGCACTCCACTGCATTGTACTTGTTTACTTTGGGAGTTGGTGCGGATTCATTGATTCTGATTTGACATTCATCAAGGACTGAAAACACTATGAAAACGCAGTGATTTGTTTTTCTTGAAGTCAGCCAGTCTGTTGCAGTCCTGGTTTCGAATCCAGAGCATTTTTTCTAGTCTCTCTAGAAAGATACGGCTTAATATTTCGCTTGGGGTGGACAGAGGTGCAGCATGGTTCCTCGCCAGTTCTTGCAGAGATTTAGGTCACCCTTCTTTGCGAGTGTTCACAACTTCTGCTTTTCTTAAAGGGTTTCTGTTAACCAATAGTCCATGACGAATGTTCGCCTTAAAAATAAAATCCTTACTAAAAAAACTTAAGTAGTTGCAAACCACTTAGGCTGGGGTTTTGATTTCTCCAGTCAGCCAGATCAGAGTAACCTAAACACCGGAGGGCTGTTTCGCTCGTTCTGGGCTGAGTAAGGTCATCAGTAGTATACCCATACAAATTCAGTTCACACAACTAAATTAGCTCAAACCCTCTGATTATGATTGGCTAACCGACTTGGATGGGCCGATATTCCTAAAACTGGATTATCCAGTTGTAAATGATTTACAAATTCCACGATCTATGTTGATGTTTCAGTTTTTCAGCTGCTTAACTGTGATGTCCAGAAGGTTTCTGTTATGTATTCCTAGAGGATATAATACGCAGGCCTAACTGACAACTAACCGACTCCAACCCAGGACGAATAGAGAAGAAGACCAATGGGAGAGTTTTATTCCTTCGAGTATAATAATCAACCAATAAATTCAAAAACACGTGAGTACGCATACACATGTAATATGACCTTGTCCGCAAACTGGGACTGTAACATAGGATCAACCAATCAGCAAATTACCTTGAAAATGTGGGCAGAAGATAAACTACTAGTCATGCTGAAAATAAAGTGATATGAAAACGACAATTTTAAAAAAATATTCGAATCGATAACAGTAATCTATGCAAAACTCAGGCGTTACAACACTTTTCCGATATAGACCAACATGAGTGATTTCTAACTATTTAAGTTGTTCATTAGTAGTATATTTTGCCTGTTCATAAGACTTTCGTGTCAGAAGTCACACCTTATGATTTTGGTTGACTGAATGTGGTTCCCAGCGGAAACCCTGTTGATACCATAGTCAGGTGGCGGTTGGGAACTAATCAATTGGTATTTGTAAGTTATTTGTAAATTCATTATTCTAAAATACCCTTGAACCTGAAATGTGCATATCTTCAGAATAAACACGCTTATCTACAGTTGGTCATTTTACTTGTCAGCTTTCCATCACCGGTATTACCAGTGATATTAGGCGCTTAAAATAACTATGGAGATCAGTCAGTATGTATCTTTTGATCTTATCTGACTAGCTTGATGTGTTCAGTCTCCGGTTAGGTTCCAATCTCTACTAAAAATAAATGTCACAATGTATTCAACTGAAAAGAGTATTCTTTATTCTGAAAAAGTACTTTAATTAACCATTCCACAGTTTCTTAGATCTTCAGGCAGCTAAATCCCTGCATCAATATAATTATTATATGATTATTTGCCCTTTGGGTTCCTAGTCGAACATACCGATTCAAAAGCACGTCTCCATCACACTCTCTTCTCTGCAATCTTCAAAACCTGGCTACACGACAGCCCATTAGCTCTCATTTCTTCCTCACATCATCTCCTCCATTCACCACCCTCAAATGCCTAACTAACTCCTCGTTTCCCATCTGCTTTCAACTAACTCCAGGGCCTCACCTGACGCGTGATGTCCCCAATCAGCCTTCTCACTGCATGCCAATTCAATCCATCTCCACTTCCTTCCACTGCATATTTGTTGAGCGATAGGTTCTGTCCTTGTTGTTTCATTGCGTGGTCAGAGTTCCTTGTTGCTTATTCTTATTATTCTCGCAATCCATCTGATCTTGAGTAAGGAGCCAGAGTAGATGGCAGTTGTTGATGAATATCTGTAGTTTGTTGGAAATGCCTTTCGTAAGGCGCTAAGTCTCTGAGGCATACAGAAGCATTGACTTGACTGAATCCGTGTTGAAAATCCGGATGTTGTTGACACTTTATGCTGAGTGCAGTGCAGTGCAGTGCAGTGCAGTGCAGTGCAGTGCAGTGCAGTGCAGCACAGAAGATCTCCACACTGGTTTCAGGTTAATGCGTGAAGGCTTGCTGTCTTGCTGTCTTTCTGATACTGGCTGTCTTTGACGTCCTCCTCTCTGCCGTTGCCGCTACGTGTAGTTGAAACGATGTTGCCTAGAGTATGTAGGTGAGAGAGTCTACATCCTTTAAGTTTCTCCTGTTGATGGTGATTGGAGCTTGTTGTTGTTGTTGGTGGTGGTGTTGGTGGTGTTGATTGAGTATCTTCATCACCTCTGTCTTCTCTACGTTCACCTGGAGGAAGTCCCGTCTTCGCTTCCCCTTCGTTGCCTCTTCTGTCAACTTGTTAGTTTTCACCTGTAGATCTTCAAGTTTGTGTGACATTAGACACAAGTCATCACTGGAGAAATCCAAATCTCCTAGGATCTTTTCCCCGAACCAGCCAGCATATCCCCCTCTTTTCGCTCCTCACTGTTTGTTGCATGATCCAGTCTAGTCGATCACAATCAGGAATATCATGGGTGATAGTAGGTGACAGCCTTGTTTCTCTCCTGTCCTCACATCAAAAGCATCACTGAGCTTTTCATAGTGAATTACTTGGCATGTGGCGTTGTATGAACATAGCGTCACCGAAAAACACCAGTTTCTGAAGTATTCTTTATTACATCAGGATCTATCACTTGCATGAATTCATAGAGCATTGAAAGTTAGCAGTTAAAAAGTATAATAACAAGAGCATCTGAGTGTGACTGCAAAAATTTTGAGTTTACTGCAGATAACATATGCCTGATATTCTACAAAGTACACTGTTTTAATAAGATTTATAACGAATGCTTGAAATGTGAGTGAGTGCCGCAAAAACCTTTATCAAATTCATTTTATAACAGCGATATGATGATGATGATACTACGTAACAAGTGATTCACAATGGAAAGCTCAGTGATGTCTTCGTAGTGAAGATAGAGGATAGGAGTAAGAAAAGACAAGATTACCACCTACTATCACCAATCAGCTTCCTGATTGTCGTCGACTCAACTCGACTCGACTCGACTGGATCATGCAACCGACAACTGTGAGGAGCGAGAAGATGAGCATTCGCTGGCTGTTTGACCCAGGAAAAGACCATAGAAGATTTCGATTTCTTCAATGATGATTTATCTCCAATATCTTATGTCACACAATCTCAAAGATATACAGACGAAAATTACCAAGCTAGTAGAATAGTCAGTGAGGAGGCAGCGAAGACGAGACTTCCTTCAGGTGAACGTAGACGAGACGGAGGTGATGAAGATACCCAGCCAACAACATCATCATCAACAGCAACAACAACAGCAAGCACCAACGGGATAAATCTAAACGAAGTTGTCTCTTTCACTTACCTACATACCCACCTGCCTACCTACCTAACTAACTAGGAGGCAGCATCGTTTCAACTACAGGTGACGGCACACGCACAGATTAACAAGACAAAGTCAATATTGGAAAGACAATAAGACAGGTCTTCCTTCATTATTGTGAAATAATCAGTGTGCAGATCTACTGCACTACGCTGCACTGCACTGCACTGCATTCAGCATAAAGCGTGAACAAGATGCGGATTTTCAACATACATCAACACCTGATGCCTACGCTCACTCGACACTGAAGATGAAGATCAAATGTCCAGGAAGAATAAACAAGGAGGAACTTTGTCTTTCTGTCTGGCTGACTGGCTGGCTGACTGGCAACGAAGCAACGAAGCAACGAAGTAAGAACCTATCGCCCAAAAAATATCTATGTGAATTGGACACACACACTGAGAAGACCGTTCGGGGATATCGACCATCGGTCAGGTCGCAGCCAGTAAAAGCCAAATTGTAAACGATGAGTTGGGTGTCCGAGGCCAGGGTGACATAGAGGAAGAAATGAAAGCTTATTGGTGGTCATGGAGCCAGGTTAAGACGACTGTTGAGAAGAGAGTAAAATGGTGATATACTACTGAAGCGCTATTTTCTACCAGGAACCCAATGGACAAATAATATATAAAAATAATCATTACAACTACAGTACATACAATATTTCTTTTATTGGGACACGTTTCTGGTCTCGTTTGCCTTATGAAATCATTAAATTGAACTACATAACATTCTGAAAGATGTGAGTTTTCATTTGTTTTTACTACTAGTAATATGTGGACTGTGTGTTGGGCTACATACAAAAAGCTACTGTATAGGCCACTTTAGCAACTGCAAAAATAACTAATGACATTTGTATATTTTAGGAATAACAACAACCGCACCACTACCACCACCATCAACAGGAGAAACTTCAAGGAAGTAGACTCTCTCACCTACATACTCTAGGCAACATCGTTTCAACTACACGTAGCGGCAACGGCAGAGAGGAGGACGTCAAAGACAGCCAGTATCAGAAAGACAGCAAGACAGCAAGCCTTCACGCATTAACCTGAAACCAGTGTGGAGATCTTCTGTGCTGCACTGCACTGCACTGCACTGCACTGCACTGCACTGCACTGCACTGCACTGCACTGCACTGCACTGCACTGCACTGCACTGCACTGCATTCAGCATAAAGTGTCAACAACATCCGGATTTTCAACACGGATTCAGTCAAGTCAATGCTTCTGTATGCCTCAGAGACTTAGCGCCTTACGAAAGGCATTTCCAACAAACTACAGATATTCATCAACAACTGCCATCTACTCTGGCTCCTTACTCAAGATCAGATGGATTGCGAGAATAATAAGAATAAGCAACAAGGAACTCTGACCACGCAATGAAACAACAAGGACAGAACCTATCGCTCAACAAATATGCAGTGGAAGGAAGTGGAGATGGATTGAATTGGCATGCAGTGAGAAGGCTGATTGGGGACATCACGCGTCAGGTGAGGCCCTGGAGTTAGTTGAAAGCAGATGGGAAACGAGGAGTTAGTTAGGCATTTGAGGGTGGTGAATGGAGGAGATGATGTGAGGAAGAAATGAGAGCTAATGGGCTGTCGTGTAGCCAGGTTTTGAAGATTGCAGAGAAGAGAGTGTGATGGAGACGTGCTTTTGAATCGGTATGTTCGACTAGGAACCCAAAGGGCAAATAATAATAATACTAATATAATCATCATCTCAACCGAAATATCGAAAGTTTATTATTATTATTATTAGTCCCTTGGGTTCCTAGTGGAACATAGGGCTTCAGTAGCACGTCTCCAGTGACCTCTGTTCTCTGAGATCTTTTCAACCTGGTTCCACGACAGCCCAGAAGCTCTCATTTCCTCCTCGGACGACCTCCTCCATGTCACTCTCGGACGTCCAACTCGTCGCTTCTCATGGGGATTCCACTCGAGCAACTGGCCTCACGCGTGATGTCCCCAGTTGGCCTTCTCAGTGTATGCCAATTCAATCCATCTCCACTTCCTCCTGCATATTTGTTGCGCGATAGGTTCTTGGTTGGTTCGTTCCCAGAGCTCCTTGTTGCTTATTCTTATTATTCTGGCAATCCATCTGATCTTCAGTAACGAGCTAGTGTAGGCAGTTGTTGATGAATGTCTGTAGTTTATTGGAAATCCCTTTCGTGACGCGCCAAGTTTCTGAACCATCACACAGAAGCACTGACTTGACATTGGTGTTGAAAATCCGAATCTTGTTCCACATGCTGAGTGCAGATGCTCTCCACACTGGTCTCAGGCTTATGAATGCCTTTCTTGCTTTTCTGATTCTGACTTTGACATAGTCTGTCCCGCCTATAGTTAAAAAAATATCGAAAGTTGAATAGTTGGTATTTAAGCAGCCATTTCCTATCTGTGTAAATGATTATCTTGTTTAATAGTCACCACTTCACTTATGAATCATACCATTTGAGTATGATTAAATCATGACGAATAAACGAATAGGTGATTAGCTAAAGAGACTAGATATTCGGACAAGTTTATCATCATATTATAATTATTTGAGAAAATGATTTATCACATGATTTTACTTATTCATATCGCAGACATTGAGTCAAAAGTCTGATTTTTTTTTTTTGCGAATACGTTGATTTGTCCATCCGTATATAATAATAATATCTGTGTAATTATTTTTATATATTTTTTTATAGTAAAAATGCACTTAATTTGATCAACCAATCAAAATGTTAGTCAGATTATTATCAATCGATAAAACACAAATTGGGCAGATTTGATGAGTTGGGCTGTGGTCTGTTAAACTGATTATTTATTGATCAACAGTCTATTTAAATTTTATTTCAACTGTTATCAGTTTATGACTACTGTTAGTTCTGTGTTGTCACTTGTTTAAAAAAAATATACCATCAGAAGATGATGATGATGATGATGATCCAATGTAGTAATGAAGTGTATGTAAAATATTTACTAGTTTACAGTATTCTAACTGGTTTTTCATTCACTTATGGACAACTTAACAATTCATCTACTGATGATAATATTCTTGTAACTACTAACAAATCTATCTTTGAACTAACTACTACTCCATCATCATTAAATTTCACTTCAAGTGAATTAACAACTATTACACCTAGTAGAGAAATAAGTTTAAATGTTACACCTATAATTGATCAGTCTACTACTGAACATTTTGATGTCAACACTGACTTGGTTAATACTACTCCCATAACGATTACATTGGAGAATAAAACTGTTGAAAATATCTCATCAAGTGTTATTACTTTGACAACTTCACAGCCTTTTATGGAGAAAGTTACAGAATCACAACGTACTGATTCGAATACAGAGTTGAACAAGGAGATACAAACAACAGAACATCAACAAGAAACTGATCAAATCACTATGTCACAAGGAAGTCATACAAAGGTTGAAAACACTACAATTTCAGAGATAGGAAGTAAAAAAAGTGAGAATCATACCTATAATAATAAAGTTTTAAGTCCAGTTGCCTTAATCGAAGGTAAGAAAGTAGATTTTTAATGTCTTAAACCATAGTGTATTGAGTAATGATCTGAATAGGATGTAGACTCTATGTGTATAAAGTTGTTTGTAACAATCGTATCACACCAGTGTTAATACCATTTTGCTTCTATACACGAACGTGTGATAATCAAACTGTAGGTATACTTTTAGTCGAAACATATTTTAGTCCTAGATGAAGATGAATTTTGGGACTACTATATCAGTGTTATGATCATTCAGTTCTAGAAGTATGTTGTTAGTTTCATAATAGTAATTTACATTCTATTGGGAATATGATAGTGTAACGACCTATTGTTGATAAGTTTTTGTCTAGCCTGTAGATAGATACGTTGTGTGTGACTTTGGTGGTGACCACGAGAATCCGGAAAAGAAAAAACGTGAGTCGACGACTCAGCAAGTACACAGGATGTACTTACATTTGGTAATAAATGATAACTGATAAACGATAGAGCTTAACAACGAAGAGGTGAGGCAGTCTAGAAATGGGATGTGTAAGGTGAATGAGTAAGATTTCGAATGTGCTACACTACTGCCCCTTCTTTGAAGTAACTATCCTCAGTGCCTGGTTGTACCTGATTGAGTTAGAGGCTAGGTATGGCGCGTAAAACTGGTGTGAGTTACATTCGAGTGGATGGCTGCTATTAAGTGCACGTCGATCTGACAGTGAGCAAGCTGGATCCCACCTCCAACATAAAATTGTATTGATCAGTTGTTGATAAGTTTTCGTCTAGCCTATAGATAGGTACGTTGTTGCACGGGGGGCATGCAGAGCAGTGTGACTTTGGTGGTGACCATGAAAACTCCGAAAAGAAAAAAGGAAGAGAAGAAAGGTGTCAGCCGATGATAAACGATAGAGCTTGACAACGAAGGCAGTGAGGCAGTCTAGAAATGGGAAATAGGAAGTGAATGAGTAAGATTTCAAATAGGCTACAATAGGACATAGTTATACTCATAGAAAAAGACGACCATTTATAATCTACAATGTTCGGAAATTCCTAGTCATCTCGGTCTTCTAGAGTAGAAGGCAGCTGTTAATGAGAATAAGAATACATGAGTTTTTCAATCATGAAAACGTCTATCGTCACGTGATCTTTTCAATAGTTTAACAGGTAGTCGTCCTTTCCTTTTGGTGTATATTATAAATTTTACACATCATAATCATTTCAATGCAGAATTATAGTCATGAGAAAAAACTGATTGATCACACTACGATTTTACAAATAGTCAATCATTCTAATACATATCCTAGTGTTCTTATTCATTGACTTTGTCATCTAATGAAATTCCTGGTCTTTTGGATATTCTTTGACTGTTTTAGAGAGTCAGATAATGTTCTTAGATGTGTCAATTTATTTCCCTACTATGGGTGTGATGAAGCAGTTTTAACGGTGTCAGATTTAATGGATGGATGACTTTAAATGCCACCTTAGCAATGATCAAAACAACCAATTGGGTTCTTTCATTGACTGGAAAAGCATATTTTTATATAATAAAGAAGTCTGATTGGTTATTACAGCAGTTGCCAGGTTGACCTTTAAAATCCCCTAATTTGACAGTACATTGTCTTAGGATGTACTGTATCCTTGTTAACATATCATTTTTCATTATAGAATAGAGATAGTTTAAAGTAGTCAAGCTTAAGACTGTGATAAATACCATGTGTTGGATAGAAACAATTGACTGGAGTTCTTCACTTGTCCTGTTACCGTGTGACTGCTTTCATCACTCTAGCAATATATGTTTTTGAAAGTTTGTGTTACTAGTGTTCAGATATTATCATTGTCATCTTCCATACGCGTCTTTCTACAAAAATGGAAGTGTTACTCACATGTTTATCGTAAAAAATTTCATGATCAAATTCTGCTGGCAGTTCCACCTGTTATAATGATATCCAGCTGGTGTCCTGTGGTAGGTTTCCCTTATTCTGTTGATGAGTTTATGATTACTTGTCTCTTGGGTTCCTAGTCGAACATACCGATTCACTAGCACGTCTCCATCACACTCTCTTCTCTGCAATCTTCAAAACCTGGCTACACGACAGCCCATTAGCTCTCATTTCCTCCTCACATCATCTCCTCCATTCACCACCCTCAAACGCCTAACTATCTCGTCATTTCCCATCTGCTTTCAACTCGAGGGCCTCACCTGACGCGTGATGTCCCTAGTCAGCCTTCTCACTGCATGCCAATTCAATCCATCTCTACTCTCTTCCACTGCATATTTGTTCAGCGATAGGTTCTGGCCTCGTTGGTTCATTGCATGGTCAGAGTTCCTTGTTGCTTATTCTTATTATTCTGGCAATCCATCTGATCTTGAGTAAGGAGCCAGAGTAGATGGCAGTTGTTGATGAATATCTGTAGTTTGTTGGAAATGTCTTTCGTAAGGCGCCAAGTCTCTGAGGCAGGCATACAGAAGCATTGACTTGACTGAATTAGTGTTGAAAATTCTGATGTTGTTGACGCTTTATGCTGAATGCAGTGCAGTGCAGTGCAGTGCAGTGCAGTGCAGCACAGAAGATCTCCACACTGGTTTCAGGTTAATGCGTGAAGGCTTGCTGTCTTTCTGATACTGGCTGTCTTTGACGTCCTCGTCTGTGCCATTGCCGCTACGTGTAGTTGAAACGATGCTGCCTGGAGTATGTAGGTGATAGAGGCTACTTCCTTGAAGTTTCTCCTGTTGATGGTGATTGGAGCTTGTTGTTGTTGTTGATGGTGGTGGTGTTGGTTGGGTATTTTCATCACCTCTGTCTTCTCTATATTCACTTGAAGTCCCGTGTTCGCTGCCTCTTCTATACTGACCTTAATTGGAACTGCTAAATATTTTGCTATCTGTGAAGAGGATTTTTCGAAGTGGGACTTTTGAAATGTTGATCTGTTTTAACTGAATCATACTTGAAACTTTCTTGAAGCATCTAGGAGGATCACATCTGACACACAATGATTACATATGTTTCCATTCATACTTTGATAGGTAGATCGACAATTGTCGGGTGGTTATAAACATACCGTTATGATAACCGATATGAAATTCACTTTTAGTTCAAAGTTTACGTGAGTAAAACCTGAGTTTAGCTTACTATAGCTTTCCATCTAACTAAGAGGCGAATTGGAGCAAATATAGATTTCAGTTTGAAGGTAAGTGAAGATTTTATTGAAGTCAAGTTGTTATTCATCATGAACTGAAATCAGTTGGAGGAGCGTTGAGCATCTAGAAGTACTGGACAGTTGTTTCGTCCTAGCCTAGGACTCCTCAGTGGTATGCACCCATAGCTCCATCAACAATTGGACCCAGAATTTTGAAGTTCTGAACTCTTGACAAATTGTTCGTATACTTGAAACTGCATTTGGCATCTACCGGTGGACAGCTAGCATTTAATATGGCACAGTATCACCTGATATACAATAATGACCATACTACAGGATTGATAGATGAGTTTCAGTTAGCACTTAGTACTAAATAGCTACGTTGTTTGTGACTAGATAGCCAATTAGTAAGTTCGTATATTATTGAGCGAAATTACTGGGTTCATTTTGATAAAGTCAGGAATTTCAAACTCAATGTATGGGCTACAGTAGGAGATTCTATGGTTTCCTAATCACTATTCACCTGATGAATATCTGAACTTGTTTTTCTTGTTAGTGTTTGACTGGTACGTGACTCCGTGATACTGATTTCAAGCTGCATATGTACTACATATGCTTAGTCGCCACCTACCTGGACATACAGTGCTAATCGAAGGTAGGTTAGGCTGGAAGAGGATTCAAGCTGGCCAAACCAAGATAGCACCAGTAGATGGTCTGAATCTTGTAGGGCGGTGTAGACTGTCTGACTGTAGTCTCCCAGATATCATTCTGTTTCAAAGCACACTTGTTTCTTTTCATGCTATTGTCTGAAGTGTTGCAAGTTGAACCGATGCATTTTTGTGTGTAAGGTTCTGTCTGTGTTGAATATGTATCAACTTAACACTTGTAAAAGGTTCAGGGGAAGATAATTTCTTTTCTTGCCAATATTTGAACGTTTGAATGTGATTAGGCAAGTTTAAAGTGTAGTGAAATGAATGAAACCTTTATTAAGAAATAATCACTGAACAACAATAAGTGAATAACTGGAATTGGTTATTGGTCTTCTTTGTGTAACCTCACATTCAATGTTTCTAAATGTCAGATGGTTTATTTCAACTTCATATGTGAACAAGACTTATATGAATTGCTCTATTGTAGAGAATGTGTCAAGCATTATCCATCTTGATTTGTGCTTTTGTTTTGATCTTCCTTAGTTCCGTCATATCTTACTGATTTCCAGGTAAATATCAGGAAATTCAGACTGTCTAACATAACTCAGTCTCTAGTTTTATGTTTTATTAGTTTCACTGTTTTCCCTATGGTCATTGTTCTTCCCTATTCTTTTGTGGACCTTAGATAAAAAAAGACTACACTGTACTGTGTAGGATTTTGAAGACTATTAGTAGGGAAAGTGGTATATCACCAACTGTGCTGATAAATGCTGTCATGGATAAGCATCTGAACTGTTGTAGACAGATCTGGCTAAAAATATTTTAAGTTGTTATTCATCATAGACTGACATCAGTTGGAGGAACAAAGGAAACCTGGGAGCACTGGACAGCTGTTTCGTCCTAGTACGGAGCTCCTCAGCAGTGCGCACCCACGACCCCACCAGCAGGGATCGAACCCGCGACCTTCAGGTTCCGCGGCCAGAGCGTTACCATTCAGCCACTGGGTCACAATCCAATGCTCCACTGCTGAGGAGTCCCATACTAGGACGAAACAGCTGTCCAGTGCTCCCAGGTTTCCTTTGTTCCTCCAACTGATGAATAACAACTTGAAATATTTCCAAATCTCCACAACCCCCTTAAAAATATTTTATGTGATGATAAGTATTCTGTGCATCTACACCTCTCTCTCTCTTTATGTCTATCCTTTGAGAAGACAAGAAGCAAATATATTAAAGGTTATACACTCACAACTACATATGAAAATTCAGCCATACCATCTTATTTTGCTTGTATAATGTCTGAAGAAAATCTTTAAGTAAGTAGTTTTATCGTTCAACTTTGCAAATATGGAACAGTTATGATGTTGCTGAGGTCATTGAACGTTTCGAAGACTATATTATTCTTAAGTATACTATTATTCAATATCACATCTGAGAATTCTGTACTATAAGCATAATTATGGTTACGAATAGAGCAATTATTCTCATTATTAGTAGTATTGTTATTAGTATTAGTAATACTATTATTATTACTATTGATAGTGGATGATGATTGGAAGGTGAAGTGAAAATTTGGACAGTAGTCGGATTCGAACCATCAACCACCGAGTTTCCTACACGATATTCTACCAACTTGAGCTACATGGTCCAACGAATGACTAGATTTTTATTTTACTTCAATCAGCCTTGGGATTTTGATCGACTACCATATGAATTAATGACACATTACTATGACTTGATCATATTCACATGGGTTGCCTACCAGTCAAGACTTTTTATCCCAATTCAAATATAACTGAATTATAATGAGAGAAATAGTATTATATTGTTTATCATCTTGATTATATAAGATAGCAGTTGTAATTTGGTAGAATAGTACTGCTGATACTGGATAATTTTTAAAGGTGAAATGAAAACAGCTGGATTCGAACTAATGACCACCAGGTTTCCAACCTGATACTCATGCAACTGACCTACAAAGTTCTACTCTTGATTACAATTCACTTGTTGCATGTTTTTCTCTAGTCTATTGTATTTTCTTTATATTTCAGAACATCATAGAATAGAAAAAGTTTCACATATAACTACTGTTAATGGTATATCAACAAGAAAAGTTGATTATCTTATACAATTGTTAAGTTTATTTGCGATATTGGTAATTTATCAATAATGAATCAATACAAATCAACAATGGGACAATATATATATATGTGTGTATTGTGAAAAATCTCAAAAACTACTGTTATATCATTTTTCTTATCACTAACTCACTAAGTCATTATAATTAATTTTTCATTCTCTTAATTAATAAAACTTGTATCGTTAATATTAATAAAATGTTAAGCTTTGTATTATTATAATCCGCTTTGTAATCCATCTATCGGCTATTATTTGATCATATTTTGTTCAACCCAATGTATAACCCGATTATTATTATTATTATTGTTATTATTACTACTATTACTATTATTATTATTGTTATTATTACGTTTAAACCATCCATTCTACAAGATAACTGACATTTTCGTCTGTTAACCACTGAACGAAGACTTTATGTCTTGAAATTGTTACGTGATGCGATAGTACTACTACTACTACTAATAATAATAATAATAATGATACCAATACTATTTCTAATAGTAATAGGTGATTAGCTCCAACTTTTATTTGTGATGTAATATTATTATTCGAAATCAAGCTATAATCATATAGACAAAAGTTGAATATCAGCTTATAAAAATGGAATGATATTTTGAAGGTTTATAACAATCAATTTATTGATACAATGTTTAGTATTCATTGTATACTGATTTCATTTAGAGAAACATAGTGAAAAAGAAAATTAGGTCCGTCTTCATCTTGAGCTGTACACTAATATGCATAGTATTACAATTTAATCGAATAAGTTAATGATTTCGTATGATGTTTCATCTCTTTTCACTAACATTCATTTAATGGAGACAGTAGACGACTTCATTTGCAGCGAACTCATGAAGCATGGCATGGAAATAGGTATTCCAGTCTCCACATTGAAAGAACTACTTCTGAAGTGTACGATGAACTCACAATTTCTTTTCAACAATGAATTCTACCGCCAATCTGATGCTGTTGCTATAGGATCACCCCTTGGCCCTCTCTTAGCACATTTTTTCCTGGCAAAACTTGAGAATAGTCCACTGAATGATCCTATTAGCTGTTTAGAGTTATATTGTCGTCATATGGGTGAAACTTTTATACTTCTCAAAAGTGAGACTGATAAGAATGCTGTTCTGAATAAGTTCAATAGTGTTCATCCGGCAATCAACTTCACAATGGATGAGGAGAAAAATGACAGTATTCCATTTCTTGATGTTCTGTTGGTAAGAAGGTTAGATGGAACCCTGAAGCGAACTGTTTATAGAAAGCCAACATCAACAGGTCAATATAAGTACTTCTTTAGTGCTGTACCCCTCCAATACAAAAAAAACCTAGTGAAATGCTTAGCATACCGTGCCACAGTTATTTGCTCAAATGATGCTATAAAGGAAGAGTGCACCACCATCCGTAATCTGCTTAGGAGGAATGGCTACCCAGACAAGTTTGTGACTAAGCACATGCATATAACGAGGGTTAAGACAACAATGCCAACAGTTCCTAAGAAGCAAATCTTCTTGAGGCTGCCATTTAAGAGTGACATTGCTAGTGAGATCGTCACAAAACGCATAAAAAGAGTCTTGCATAAATCCTTCCTAACCGCTAAATTATTTCGCGCCTTCTACAATCACCCGATTCTAGGTGCAAGAAATAAAGACAAACTGCCTGATTCTGCCGCTTCTATGTGCATTTATCAATTCAACTGCTCCAGTGGAGCTAGTTACATTGGGCGTACAATGAGACAGTTCCATCGTCGAATTTCTGAACACCACCCATCATGGTTGAACAAGGGACAAATTAGAACTATAAAGACCTCCATACTTACACACTTAGTTGACACAAGACATCAAGTGGTTACTAGAAAAGTCTTCAAAATCATCCATCAGATTCCAATTGCTTTACCTGATAGATTACGCACTCGGTTACTTCACATAGCACAGGTGATTGCAATCCACCTTTACAAACCTAGCCTTTGTATACAAAAGAAGTTTGTTCGACCACTTTCATTACCGTGATCTAACTTCTGGGTTTACTTTGTACACCTCTTCCCCTTCCCCTTGTTTCTATCAATATTCACTTAGTTTATTATGATTACGTAATCGCTTATTGTGGATGACTGAACACTCATTAAAGTCACTCCATTTACCAAAGAGAAGCTTGTTTCATATTTCCAATATCTTAGTTACTCTATTGGTTATTGACATGATTATTTCCGAGACATGACCACATGATTGGTAATTTGATTGAATTGTAAAACTATGCAATATTAGTGTAGAGCCCAAGATGAAGACGGACCTAATTGAAAAGGAATATACACTTCTTCGTTCAATCAGTCTTGCTTCTAAATGCCTAAATGGGAATATTCAATGTATTGAAACATAGGGAATCTAGAGAAGTACTGGACAGCAGCTGTTTTATCCTACTATGAGACACCTTGGTAAACTGTATCTATAACTCCACCAATGATCCAACGCATAGGTCGTGAGTATGAGCCACTAAGGAGTCACACCAAGACGAAATGGCTGGCTGTCCTGTGTAATAGTGGAGAATATTTGTAGCTCAAGTGGATGGTCTTGGTTGTATTGTATTATCTGAGCTGGGTTGTTTAATCGTGAAGCTAGATGATATCATCAACTTTGTCAAGGCAAGCTACTAAAACACTCACGGAGAGATATTGACAACTCACTTCCTACTGAAGTTAGTGCTGATGATGTCGCTGTCTAGAAAGACGATGAAAGCTTCACGATTAAATAACCCAGCTCAGAGAACACAATACAACCAAGGCTGTCCTGTGTTCCCAGCTTCTCAATGTTTCTCCAGGTGGTGTCAGTCCACGATGAATGCCGACCTGAAGTCAATAAATAACTACATATTACATCATTCATTCGATTAGTCGAATATTTATAAGGCTGAATGTACTGATATTTTTTCCCCGTGGACTTTTTATAAACTTCAGGGTCTGGATGTCTGCATTACTTACAGTTTAAATGTTAAGATATTGAAAGCTGTAATGTACGCCTTCAGTTGGGACTTAGATCATTGTTAAGAGCTTCAGAGCTGAGAGATACAGACTAGCCATTTGTGAGGTCCACAAGACAACTACTTTGTTACTTGATGTGATGATATGTGAGGTGTGTCAACTTGAACCGTTGTTAAGTAATGTCTGATCCTATGTTGATAAGTGTTGATTGATAAGTTGATAGTTTGAATGAACACAGTTTAAGTTATTTTTCATTAGGTGTGTTAGTGTGTAAGTTACTTAAGAATCTATTGCACTAGTGAGGTTCTTCGGAAATTCCATTTGGTTATTAAGTGAGCAACTTCATCAAAGTTACCGATTATTATTTATTTATCCCTTGAGTTCCTGGTGGAACATAGAGCTTCAGTAGCACGTCAACATTTCACTCTCTTCTCTATAGTCCTCCTAACCTGGCTCCATGACCACCAATAAGCTTTCATTTCTTCCTCACATCATCTCCTGTATGTCACCCTCACCTCGGACACCCAACTCGTCGTTTCCCATCTCGGTTTCACTCGAGGGCCTGACCTGACGCGTGATGTCCCCAAACGGTCTCCTCAGTGTGTGTGTCCAATTCATATAGATATTTGTTGGGCGATAGGTTGTTACTTTGTTAGTTTGTTGCCAGTCAGTCAGTTAGTTAGTCAGTCAGTCAGTCAGCCAGTTCTTCCTTGTTTATTCTTCATGGCCATTTGATCTTCATCTTCAGTATCGAGTGAGCGTAGGCATCAAGTGTTGATGTATGTTGAAAATCCGCATCTTGTTCACGCTTTATGCTGAATGCAGTGCAGTGCAGTGCAGTGCAGCGTAGTGCAGTAGATCTGCACACTGATTATTTCAGAATAATGAAGGAAGACCTGTCTTATTGTCTTTCCAATATTGACTTTGTCTTGTTAATGTGTGCGTGTGCCGTCACCTGTAGTTGAAACGATGCTGCCTCCTAGTTAGGTAGGCAGGTGGGTAGGTGGGTATGTAGGTAAGTGAAAGAGACAACTTCGTTTAGATTTCTCCCGTTGGTGCTTGTTGTTGTTGTTGTGGATGATGATTTTGTTGGCTGGGTATCTTCATCACCTCCGTCTCATCTACGTTCACCTGAAGGAAGTCTCGTCTTCGCTGCCTCCTCACTGACTCTTCTACCAGCTTGGTAATCTTAGTCTGTATATCTTCGAGATTGTGTGACATAAGATATTGGAGATAAATCATCATCGATTAAATCGAAATCTTCTATGGTCTTTTCCTGGGTCAAACAGCCAGCGAATGCTCATCTTCTCACTCCTCACAGTTGTCGGTTGCATGATCCAGTCGAGTCGAGTCGAGTTGAGTCGACGACAATCAGGAAGCTGATTGGTGATAGTAGGTGGTAATCTTGTCTTTTCTTACTCCTATCCTCTGTCTTCACTACGAAGACATCACTGAGCTTTCCATTGTGAATCACTTGTTACGTAGTATCATCATCATTGTGTCGCTGTTGTTGAATGAATTTGATAAAGGTTTGCGGCATTCACTGTGCATCTGCCAAATAACTTCTCAGTCGACGCTGTCGAAGGCCTTTTCAAGGTCGATGAAGTTGAGGTGGAGATTTGGTTGACATTCTATACTGTGTTCATTAATAACGATGCGGAGCGCATCTATGCAATTTGATCCGCATATGATTTGTTTTTCCTGAGGCTAGCCAGCCTGTTGTGGTCGTAGTTTCGAATCCAGAGGATTTTTTCTAGCCTCTCTAGGATGATGTGGCTTAATATTTTGCTTGGTGTGATCAGGGGTGGAGCATGATTCCACGCTAGTTGTTGCAATGATTTAGGTCACCTTTCTTTGTGAGTTTGGCAAGTTAGCCCTACTTCCAATCGTCAGGTACCTTTTGCCTCCAAACCTTCTGTAATAATAGTGTGATCATGTCCGCTGATAAAGCTACTCATTACGGAACTAAATTATCTGTATCAGTGACAACTTGGAGTTCGCAATAACTTATCTAAGTAGAGAAGAGGTCTGATTCGAAACTAGGCGCAAAAGAGTCTTACATCGGAATGACAAAATTTTAGTGAGGTAATAATGTTTTGGTCCGTTTGTCAATAATAATAATAATTGCTGGATTCATCGGTGTGGCGAGTAGCACTCAGGTGTATAGGAGCAACATAGCTCACTGGTAGAAGATGGATACATCCAATTGGTGAGCCTTAAATAGAAAGAGGAGCGCGTCTTAGGTCCCACTACAAGACGCTACCTATCATTAGTATCTTGTATGAAACTACAATCTACTACG